TTTTTCTCCACTGACTTACTCATCGCCGCAAATTCCAAAAGCAGCCCCGCAACCACGCTATGAGTATGCAAAATTATTGGAATCCGTGAATGACTTATTGTGCAAGCCTCTATAGCCTTGCGCCCGATACTGTCTCACCCCCAATCTTACATTAATCGACATCACCAAACATGGCTGACGTCTTTTTGAGTTTCTTCCGCAGTTCGTTGCCGGACGAACTTGCGGCAGTGCTTGAAACCACTATCAAGGCAACCGAATCCGGGGATTTTTTGAAGGTGCTCCAACTACCGGAAGCGCAACTCCTTCTAGGCCGTGAGGACAATGAAGCCACCAAGGACGTTAGAAGAGGCGATTTCGCTGTCTGGAACGACTATATCTTTCGCCGCCTTGGACTACTCCTGTCACAACAGAATGAAGTGGATTCAGGTTCAATACAAGAAACAGCAGCATACAAACAACATACATACCTCCTAATTGCGGTCGCTGCGTTGTATGCATTTCTGCAGTCCAATGTTACTGGACCGCCACTACCTTTCAAGTCTGCCGAAACACTTTTATCGGAAGACATCACAGGCGATGTAAAGGCCCTCAACAAAGCAAGGGCAGATCTTGTTGCATCGCTGAGCACAGATGGTGTTGCAGCATACAGACTTACACCAAACATCGAGCTACTATGCCTCGCACAAACCATCCTCATCAGCCCGGCCATTCGAAAGAACATTCCGGTCGCGGCGTGGGCGCGCCTCAGGGCCAATTTCGTCCATCAGAGACTGCTCAGCGAGTCGGCACCCAGTCTACAAGATGCCATCTATGACGACTTGAAGGTCGTAGAAGATTTGATTCACAACTCGGATAAGAGCAGGGAGATCAAGGACTTGCATCCTAGCTTCCTACTGGAACGAGCAGCGGTTCACACGCACCATGGTCTGGATAAGAAAGCTAAGGCGGATCTTGATCAGGCAACCTCAGAACGCAAGTTCGAATTCGCATTGACTGGACTCATGGGAAAGAGAACGAAGTTCCAGCAGAAAGATACTAGCCAGCTCATCGTACTCGCCCGAAGTGCAGGGTCGGATACTAATGGCGCAGCAGACGCAAGCTCAAAACCAAAAGCCTTGGACCTGAACGACGATACCTTGCTTGAGTCTATTTCCTTCACCAACGATACTGCGTCCATGGAAATCAAGGATGAGTCCTCTCTACCGTCATCTCTTACATCCATGGACCCATCGAACCAACCTCTGCTCGATCCACTCGATTCCGTCATCATGCTCTCGCTGGCTGAGAGCATCAAGAACACGAACCCCGCTGACGGTCTTACAAGAGAACAAACCGAGCCGTACGCTACCAGAGTACTAGAGGGCGGCAGCTCGAACTGGCAAGTTTACACCCAAGCTCTCCTTGTGCGCAGTCGCATCGAAGGCTACAAGTCGCGCACCATGGAGCGAGGGTTGCTTCAACTGCAAGCACTGGTGGACCAAGTCATCGCGGAGACTTCTGGCGACGCGACCACTGATGCTGAGACGGGCGAAAAGATCACTTCTTTCCTTCCACAGGCGAAGGACAGCGAGGCGGCATCCGTTGAAGAACGCCTTCGCTACATCTTCCCTCTCTGTTCGCCATCCCGTTGGGAGCTGGAGTCTGAGCTTGCTGCTCGATGGGTCGCTCTGGGTGGTTTGCGATCTGCGCTCGAGATCTACGAGAGATTGGAGATGTGGGCCGAAGCAGCGCTGTGCTATGCAGCCACCGAGAAGGAAGAGAGGGCGCGTAAGATGATCCGACGACAACTGTTCCATGCTACCAACGGCGATGATGAGAACGTGGATCTTGACGAGGAGAAGTGGGAGGGCGCTGAACGGAACCCACCGCCAGCCGAAGCACCACGTTATTACTGCATCCTGGGTGATATTGACAACGATCTCTCCATGTACGAGAAGGCTTGGGAGGTTTCCGGCAAACGTTACGCGCGTGCTCAACGGTCCCTTGGTCAACGCTACATCGCAGCACGCAACTACGAGAAAGCTGTAGAAGCCTACGAGCTTTCTCTCAAAATCAACTCGCTCTATCATCCCGCATGGTTCGCCCTCGGATGCGCATACCTCGAAACTCTCCAATTCAAGAATGCCGTTGAGGCGTTTTCCCGCTGTGTCCAACTCGACGACCAGGACGCCGAAGCATGGAGCAACCTCGCCGCATCCCTTCTGCACCTCAAGCCCAAGATTCAGGAAACCGAAGATGGCGAGCTGCAAGAGACAAGAGTGACAAACCACCCTCGTACCGACGCTCTCAAGGCTTTCAAACGCGCTGCCACCATCAAGCACGACAACTACCGCATCTGGAATAACGTCCTCGCCGTCAGCGCCTCCACCAACCCACCCTCTTGGTCCGACGTCGTAACTGCACAACGCCGTATCTGTGAGCTCCGCGGCTCAACCGAAGGCGAAAAGTGCGTCGATGCAGAAGTCATCGACATGCTAGTCAAGCACGTCGTTTCCAGCGAAGAAGAGTTTGATATCTCACGCCCTGGTCTCCCCCGCCTCGTAAACGACCTCATTGAGAAACACATCAAACCTCTCATCACTGTATCGCCCAAACTATGGATCATTCTAGCAACACTATACACGCACACCAAGCGACCGAGTTCGGCGCTAGAGTGTCACGAGAAGGCGTGGCGAGCAGTGACGAGTCAGCCGAAATGGGAATCTGGTACCGAAGTGGAGTGGAATGCCGTTGTTGAGATGACGATGGATCTACTGGATGCCTATGAGACTTTGGGACCGCGTGAGCGCACCGAAGGTCTGGCGGCTGGAAGTGGGGAGCTGGTGGCCAAGGACTGGAAGTTCAAGTCGAGGAGTGCGGTGAGGAGTGTCATGGGCAAGGGTAAGGACAACTGGGAAGATAGTGCTGGGTGGGAGAAGTTGGTCGAAAGGTTGGAGGAGTTGAAGGGGAGGGAATAGATAGGTTGGGATTTGGGACGAGTATGAGTTTTGTTCATAACTAGGTATCTAAGAGAAAAGCATGTCTTTCTATTGGAGTTTCTTGCTTATATAATACTAGCGGATCACTCACGGAGCGAGATGAACGCTAGAGATATCAACGGGTGTGAGCTTCAAGGTGGCACGGTTGTAGCCGGCGCTACCTAGGTACGTAGGTGGCTGCGGCGCAGAGGGAAACCCAACGAACATACTAAATACAAACAAGCCATCTTCGCAGGACACCATACGCCCACGATCATGTTATCTCTATCGAAATTCCTTCTCTTTGCGCCATACTTAATACCAATCTTGGCGAGCGCTCATCACTCTCAACGGCAAGGGCCCTTCGCCCTAACGTTAAACCCAACGTCTATCATAGCTTCCCGAGTGAACTCTTCAGGTCGTGTCGAACTAAGGACATACCAGGTTACTTCTGAGTATCTCTCGTACTTTGACGACACCATAAGTCAATTCGATCCGCAAAATAGATTCAACGAGTCGTGGGAATGTAGCAAGGCTGCAATATCCACGTTTCGCACTGCTATCGCTGGCATTACGAAGGACTTGACCGGATCTCTCGGATATAGACCCAAATATTCTACATTAGTTTTCCCTGCGATCTTCAGCCGTTCATCTTGGTGCGCCGCCTACCGAGCAATCCGCACCTCACCCGATGATGATGACAGACCATTCGATCAATTAAAAATAGACGATCGACCGTTCAGCGAAAGACATGGGGGAGCGGCCGCTTGCGAGGCTTATGACTTGTTTCATCGATGCGATCGGTTGGGTCGAGCGCCTGAAGACTGTAATGATGATGGCCCTGTGAACTTGATCATTGGGGTTGAATACGAACAAAGCTATATGCATGTCAGGCTTTTCGAGATGGTATATGACCACCATGGTTATGCAAACGTTGCTGAAAAGATGTGCCTTGAGTGCGGGCTTCGTTTCAATAAGGTATGTGAACCACCATCGTAGTGATTCTAGAGTAATCGTGGGAATTGATCTAATCGTAACAGACTGAAGATGCAACAAGTTATGAGGATCGTATCTGCAGCTTCCTGGACAGCTTCATCCGAGAAGAAGTAGCGAGCGATAAGTGGTATGAGATGGACGACCTTCGGGCAGTGGTTGTCGTCGGTGAAGTTCCGCGAGCAGCAATCGCAAAGCTGGAAAACTCAGTCCAGGAGACCCTGAAGTTGGACCATATCACGATGCTGAACGACATTGATGCAGCTCTTGTCAAATCTTACGGTGCAGCTTCGTATGCTTTGCATACTGAAGTTCATCCTGAGGTCTATCAAGTGTTTGTATCGCCGCCACTAGAGCTAGAGCATAGTGAGTTGTAAACCAAAAGAGACGGCACTGTACCTCCTCTGGGCTAGCAACTTTACCCTAGGTAGATTGTAGTGCATGATATTACATACATGGAGCTGGGACGTCAAGCAAAACACCAAGTTGGCAGCCAACATCAACGTCCGTACGAGGTATCGAAAGCGTCTCGTGGTCAAATCATGGTGGTCATTCAAAGGATTCAATTGAATCCGGAAGGATGCGGCGCACATCTCAGTCGCGCTATACCTCGACAACATGGAGACTTTGCGTGCATTCAATCGCCGTCTTGGCAAGGACTGAGCGAACGGGAAACCTTGATCTCACTTGTTCTAACTCCACAACGACCGTTATGTGGGGTTCCCCAGGCTAGTGAGGGGGTTCCGGAGGCTAGCGTATTTGATTTGTGGGTCGTTGCAAGCAATTCTGCCTCGAGACGAACGTGACTCGCATCGATCCTCGAAATACTCCACGTTGCGATTCTAATCCTCTTGCACATGGAGTACCGTGATGTATATCTGCTTGGTTGCCCGCATTCTCATTGCGCACATCTTTCTCGTGCAAACAACCTTGGCCTCCGCTCTTTCCCCGCATTAGCTTGCTCTCTCAACCCAAGATCGCGAGCTTCAGAGTTGGAATCTCGATCACCACAGACCTGATTCAAGAGATCAAAGAGCAGATCATCAAGAGATGTCGAACAACATCCTCATCACCGGCGGCGCAGGCTTCCTGGGCCCCATGCTTGCCGCCAAGTTGGCACAAGATTCCTCTAACAGCATCGTCCTGACCGATCTTCAAACACCCCAGAGGCCAGCCGGGATTTCATCTTCGGCTACCAACCTGGAGCTCACAGCTGCGGATCTCACCTCACAAGCAGATATCACCAAACTCCTTTCTATGCGCCCACAATGGTCGGCCATCTTCCTATTTCACGGGATAATGTCGGTCGGCTGCGAGGAGAACCCTGCACTTTCTACCAAAGTCAACCTAGGCGCCACGCTTTCTGTTCTCACGTCCATCTCACAACTCCAACAAGCCTCTAAACCCCGCATTGTCTACGCTTCGACCCAGGCTGTTTACGGACCACCTTATACGGCATCGGGTCCCATTACAGATGATACTCCCGCAACACCAATAGGAGTTTATGGCACCCACAAAGCCATTATGGAGTGCCACATAAATGATCTTAACCGCCGTGGGCTAATCGATGCCTTCGCCGTGCGTCTACCAACCGTGGTTGTGCGCCCGGGTGCGCCTTCGCGATCAGCTGCAGCATTTTTGAGCGGTATGATTCGAGAGCCGATGGCCGGGCTTGAATGTATTGTACCCATCAGCGACCGTTCGGCGCGCCAGATGATATGTTCGCCTCGCGTCATGATTGAGAATTTTGTGCGCGTAATGAAGGCTCCCACGGACGCTATGCCGGCGCATATTCGCGCAGTGTACATGCCGGGAATAAGTGTCGCTCTTGGAGAGATGTACGCAGCGTTCGAGGCAGTATGCGGGAAGGATAAACTTGGGCTGTTGAGGGAGGAAATGGATGAAGAAGCAAAGAGGTTGCTGGACAGTTGGCCGCAGACGGCGAAGTTCGGAAATGCAACAAGGATGGGATTGTTGTTTGACGAAAGTTGCGAGCAAATCTATAGAGAGTATGCCGATAGCTTAAAGGCAAATTAGGCTTTAGGCTGAACAGGCCTTGCGACCTTCAAGGTACAGGCTGGAGAATCAATCTTTCTGCGAATAGTGATTGGTTGTGTTCAAAACTTATGAAATTCCAGACAGACGTTGTAGCTTGGTTGACTGTTTATGTTGTTATCGCTCGAGGAATAGCGCTTAGGTTGGGTGATGGTGAGTTGCCTTTTGCGCACCACTCCCGAAGTCGATCCGACCCGGCTGACATCCAGAGTAGGAATACCATTCGGGCCAGATATGGTGATTTGCCCTTTTCGCACCACTCCCGAGGTTGAACCGGCTGGCATCAGCGTCTCGTAACAGCACCGTCAAAGTATGGGATACGAGTAATGTCACGTGTCTGCATTAGGCTGTCCCAGAATGACTTCGAGGCCTTTTAAATGCACATGACTAGTCCCGTAATGGAGAAATGCTGACTTCTTCAATAAGAAAAGATAGCTGGTCCTGAGATGACTTCGACGCGCTCGTGTAGTGTTATGCAACTAGTCCCATAATGGAAAAATGTCTACTTCCTCAATGGAAAATAGATAGTGGTTGTGCTCAATTCAGAAGAGCACCAAACGTAAAAACAATTAACTATCTGGCTCTGATGGAGCAGTATATAAACACCCAATAGCTCTCCATCTTCTCCAACAACCACAACCACATCCCTACGCCTTTCACACTACCTCACGCTTCTCATCTCCAAAGATGCACTTCAAACTCCTCCTCGCGACCATCCTCGGTCTATCCCTCAACCAAGTCTCAGCCGGCGGAGGCGTCGGCACCTACAAGTGTGGAGACTGCGGATGCAACGCAGTCGACGAGCACACGTGGTCCGGGACCTCAGATTGTTACACCGTGGACGGCTCTCAAATCCGCGCCTTCGGTCTTTCCGGCCCAAAATCTGGACCCAAGACTACTTGCGCACTGTTCAATAATGAGAACTGTGATGGATATGGAGAGGTATGAGAACCTGGCCATTTTTTTGGTGTAAATTGTCACTGATTGGATTGATCTGTTAGATTCAATCGATGGGTCAGGGGTCGGGATCTTTCGCTTGCACAGCTGTGAGGGAGAATTTTGGGAGTTTCAGATGCTACAATAATGCCTAAGCTTGAGGAGCAGCTGGCTAGTGTAGGTTCGTGGAGATAGCTGCTCACTTGGACCTTTCGACACCTCTCTCTTTTCCTGGTCGCTTTTCTTTGTGATTGTCGTGCTGGATCGGTCTTTACTATCATTAGTTCCTATGCCTGGTCGTCATTGCGTTACTTATCACTGCTTTTGTAACAGGAGGACATACATTCGCTCATTACGATAGACGTATCAACCAACCAACTTCTTCCTCCGTCTGTTCTTTCTGTGTTGACAATCAAAAGTGCGGGAACCCCGGATACGGAGTCAATACTACCTACGCACACTTCATCGGAACTCTGCATTTTACTGACGTTAAAGAAAAGTAAAAGCGACCTTAGTGGTTGCCAGTCAAGGCGAATTGGGCTGCTAATCTGGCTACTCAGATGACATGTATTTGAAGGAACAGCAGTAAGAACCAAGCATCAATTAGTATGGTATGATACTCCTCTACAACCCCTTAATTAAAACAACACAACTGTTATCATACCAAACATAAGCCCCCGATGCCTACGGGGTAAACGCTTGATCAAATTGAACATCGGATTCCAGTTCACAACGCCGCAGTAGTGCTGAATGGCCAACAACTAAACAACTGTGGCTCCCGATTCGCGTGCAAAGGGCCTGGCATGAAGCCGCAGTTGCATAGCAACGGGACTGCTTCCCGCACCCTCAATCCCCACGTTTTCGGACTATTTCCTGCCACCTTTCCCTGCGTCTTACAGCGTTTTACCTTAATTATGCAACATGTTCCAGGCTTCAGCAAGCGGTCATAAGTGCCCGATACCTAAAGGTATAGGGGTGCTAAGGTAGCAATCTAACTAATACGGACGATGAGGGGATACGCGCACGAAGAGCTCATTCCTCATACACTGGCATTAGGACATAGGATCACAGATGCGCAACGATTGGATTATAGATACAATTTGCCTAAATCATTTTACTTAAGATAAATACTCTCCGAGGACTTCCGCAACCAGCACAGTCTTCGTGATTCTTATGAGCTTGCGCCCAGATCTGCCCAACGAGTAAGTTACGCTTTAGAACGGCCGGGAAAAGCTTACCTCTTCGTCTCTGTAACGATTGTACACAAGTGTGCCTCCTTCTCGTTCGATCGTTATGTAAACCCGGGTTTCACAAGGCAGTATATGACACTCACAGACAAACATTGCAGCTTGATCGACAGCTCGAAACTGTGAACAAAATCATGGTCGGCGGCACGCTTTGGTCGCACGCCGCAGAACGCGCCCGGTCTAGCCTTTAATCTTTCAAACTACGATGGCTTCAACATGGATTCAAGAAATTCGTGCAGTGACGTGGTGGCAACCAACCAGTCATATCACCAAAGATCTCTTGCTGTAGCTGAATCAACCATTCATTACAAACGAAGCACGTCACTCGCGGTCCCCACGTAAAGGCAAAAAGATCTCATCAGTTATCGATGAGATGCAAAAAACATACAACAGCGGGGATTCGCTAGTGGTCACCCACCTAACTACTAATCCGCCGGTACACTGCTTGTATATGGCTGAGCGGACGGGAAGCCTAATTTTCAGTGTCCTATGGTCGTATGTGGAAGGAGTGGTAAGGTATTATCTTATATTCCAGCATTGTGGTGGTCTTGACAAGAGGTCACTCCTTGTCCTGTCGTTTGTAACGTCAGCATCAAGCGGGGACAATGGGCGTACGTGACGATCTTTTGCTGTAAGATGCCACTGACAGCTTTCTCCAGACGCCAGAGAGATCATGCACCTCATTTCATGGCTAAAGTTCAAAATAAGGCGACGGGAGGTCTGAGACAAATCCGTTGAAGATGTGGCACACCAGCCACTGAGGTAAAGAGATGTCTCACGATGGGGGATGCAATCACAACGCGTGTAGAGTCCGCGGCACGCTCGGCCGAAATCGTAGGGAGACAATGCGCCCTTAAAGTGCGACACACTTTGCGTTGTTGTCGGTGGTCTTGTGGTGACTAAACCATTGGTGGTGCGATGCGAGCTACTCGTGTAGGTGCATGATCAGAGCTGAGTTTCCCCCACATCTGGACTTTCGATGCAGCGACCTGGTACTCGGGTCTCTGCCGCTCGGCGTGGCGATACGTGTTAAGCCAGTGCAATGGATAGTAGGAAGTATCCGACAGTCAGGACGAAGACAGAGCTTGTGCTGCGAATAGATTGCGTCACGGCTATCGGGTCTCTGTCCGCGCCTGCGTACACAAAGTAATCCTATCGTGGGTCACTGCAGCCATGCTCATGTTGGATAGCTGCATACGTTCCATGTTGGCTCGGTACCGACCATCCGGGTATAGGTAACGATGACTGACCATTGGCAGTCGGCAGGTCCGTGGAGAGACCCCTTATCCATTTGCTCGACGAGTAGATGTGTGATAAACGGTGAAAGCATGGCAGTAAAAGTGCCTACGATATAGAAAGATTGATGCGCTTGCGCAGGAGGCCGGCCCAAGAGTCCGCGGGGTAAGACGCATAGGGGCTGGCCAAAGCGGGTGGCATCTGTTATGGTGTAGTGTATGTAACAACGGAGGGTACTCGTGCTCGGGTCGTGGAACCAAGCCCATTGTTAACAGCCCGAGGTCTGCTCGCGTACGAGGACCGTTGTAGGGTCGCACAAGCTGGCCTTCGTTGCGACCAAAGACCGGCAAAGCTCTACCTCGAGGACATGCGCAACCTATGTGCATGCAAGAACCATGAAAGGCGTGTTGAGATTTCGCAGCGGTCTCTGTATGATTGGGTCCACTTTCACGAGGCGGCTGACTGCATACCCTTAGTGGTGTACCACGAAGATGCGGAAGCGCGTTTCAGGTGGCCAAGGCAAAGACCCGACTCCATGGCAAACATCCTCGTGGGAAGACAGTGTTTTAGCCGTAACAGTGTGTTCAAGCCACGATACGTTTCTCACCTCCTGGAATGGTTAGAGAGGTGATTCCAAATCGCCCGTACACAGCTCTAGTTGACAAACGGCGCAAAGCATGGCGTCGTAGGTTGGGAATACCAGATAGATTAGTCTCCGAGCCATAGTGAAGGCAAACGCGTCGCGTCGTAGTGTGCACATTGATCCATTTCGGGAGATCACGACCGTGATCGGGCAAACTGCGGGAGGGCATAATTCGAGAACTCAGCGTCCGCGGCGCGACACCCAATCCATGGTTATTTGCGGCCGTCTTACATTATCCTCTGATGTGCTAGTCGGCTCGCCCGAGCGAGGCCGGCAGCTCTGCATCACTGAGCTGACATTGTAAGCAGTAGGTGTGGTGGAAGCGAAGAGATGAGCGCTTAAAGCTGTGAACCTGGGGGATTATAGAGATGAGAAACTTTCAGTAGGTGAGGATATCGTAAGACGACTAATGCAGACCAAGACCAGAAAGGTCTCTGTACTTTGGAGGCAACGGCAGCACGAAGCAGGGTCCTGGCCTGGTACCCTCCGACGCGTGGTGCGAGGAGTGCGGCCCCCTGCAGAGAACACCTGGCCTTCGCATTGCGGTCCTGGATAAACGACGTGAACAAAGGATGATGTTAGAGACGGCACACCTGCTTGATGGGGGGTATTTTGGCGGAAGCGCTGATGCTAATGCTCCCCTTCTGGCTGCTTACACACAGCCACCAGAGTTCCGCTAGGCACTCGTTCGGGGCAAGCGCGGCTGGTCACACGGCATCAGCTTTCTAAGAATACTACGAGGCCACACTGACCATGTTCTGCTAACATGGCATTGTTTGAACGAGCAAGGAAGGCTGTTGGAAGTGGTCGCGTTCGTTTGTCGCGTTGGCGATGAGGGACGTGTCTGTAGCGACGATGCTCATGGCACCAGAGCGCGTAGCTGCAAGACGATCAGCTACTTTGGATCGGGATATTCTGAC